TTATTGCACAAAAATGCATCATATCATTTGTTTTAATTTCTTTCGGCTTTAACTTTTGTTGAGTTTAGTCTCATCTATTATGATCATTTGAAAAGAAAGAGGCTTGGGGGAATTTGGAATTCTTCGCGTACTGTAGAGAAGGCTTACTGCTCTCTTTGGTCTCCCGTGGTGGACCTTCCATCCTGTGTTACCATCTCATATCACTTATTCCAAGATCGCCCTCAGCCTCGACAGCGACAGTATCTCCAACGGCAACTGCTATGTTCAAATTTATTTTTGTTTAGTTTCCCTTTTGTCTTTGATATGGTTTCAGGATTTCCTAATACAGACTTCATCCTCATGACTCCTATAAAATCAAAGATGCTTCTTCCCCCGACTAGTTCAATCCAAACCGGCGATGGGACACGATTCATTTCTAGCAACGGTTGCCTTGCGCAGGCGGGATTGCCGTTAACGGAGATGCTTTAACAATTCGGAGTAGTTCATGGCGTAATTTCAAGAGTCTAATCGCGTAGAGTTAGCATTGCATTCGAGAAATTTTTAATTAGTTTAATAAATTTAATTACAATATTTTCTAATGGTTTTATTGGCTGCGTCAATAGCCTTTAATTAAGTTTAAATCATTGTTTCTTAGTTTTACTTTTATCTTTTTTCATTAACTTTTTAAATTTATTTTTCCTTCTAGAGACTTCTTTTTTAACCTCCACCTCTTTAATTTAATTTTGTATTATTGTTGGGGATAATTGCCTGCGGATAATAAGTAGGTGTATTAATTATTCACTATGCCAAAGTTTAGTTTCAGCCATCGTTTTCCTTTTACCCATTTTTTTGGTAATTTCAGAATTATCTCACCTTCTTCAGGTTGTAATCACATCAATGGTGTTGTGTTTTCGGTGAATTTCGACTATGTCTCATGACAGACTTTAATCGCTTCGATCGGTTAGAGATTTTTAGCACCATAGTGGTGCCTTTGTAGTTGGTCTCTTGGCAGGAAAATTTTAGTGCTGTGAAGGTATGTTCGTGCACCTCCACAATCTATGATGGAAAGCAAGTTTCGAGTTTATATCTTACATGATTTATTTAATCATGTCAAAGAATCTTCAAGGATATGCAACTTATTTGGTCGGCTTCTCAGGTGATGAAACTATTTCATTTCATTTTATTTTCATTTTGGTAAATTCTATTACGACATTATCGATACTCATATAAAAATTACTTGCTCTTAGTGGAGGTGTGTGATTTACTCATAATGTATTAATTGTTACATATTGCTGGATTTCTCAACCGGCCAACATGGATCCTACATCGAGGAAGTCTTCCCGGAGCAGGAGCCACTTTCAGGGAAGTTTTCTCTCTCTTCCTGCCCTTCATGTAAGTTTCGTGTCTTTTCGCTCCTTGGTACTTTCTTCAGAGTTGCCCACTTTGTGGCATAACAGGCTATCAAGAATCCGGTTGCATATGGATTATCGTTCTTTATCATTATATGTTTTGTATTTTGTTGTTCGACCATGCTCTGGGCTTATCTGAGATAAAATAAAAGAATTAGACAACCCACCACAAAATAATTCACTCTTCATTGGATCACATGGTAGACAAGATAAACAGCAGAACTCTTTCAGCATTCTCTTAGTTCCATCTATGCTATGTCCCTTCTGCAAATACCAACAAATCACCTAGATAATCCTTAGAGGTTTTGCATCTAGGACGATAAGGAATGGACTACTCACTCCCTCCCTTCATCAATAAACAAGATTTTTTTATTTATTTCCTAATTATTTGTAGCAACTATCTCTCATTTCATTTGGAGCATTGGTAAAAAGAAAAGATGAGAAAACGATTATTTCTAACATATACTTATTATGCATAGTTAGCAACCGCATCAATTTTTTAGACTCAAGAATTCAAAAGCTAAATCATGTTCTTCTAATAAATCTTCTTCTTTTAATATGATATTTGATTCTTTTAAAAAACTTCTACTATTCGCTTCAATTGAGTTTCCGTCACCTATTTTGGTTACTTTAGTGAACTGGCTCATTTTTAATTGAGTTATTGTTTTGTATTTTTTTTTTTGTTTTAGTTGTGTTTGCTTTACTCTTTCAATTAATAAAAATATGTTTTTTTTGTTTCATCAATCATATGTCCAATCAACTATCATTCTAAAGTTGGGAGATCGCTTCATCGAGCTTTTTTTATTGCTGCAGTTGGGGTCGCTGCAACGACGATTGACTTCCACCACACCACCTGCGTAACGACGGTCGCTGCAGCGATGGAGTTGGAAGGGACGAGGAAGGGTCGCTGGATCTGGATTCCGTCTCGATCAATTCCCAGCGCACGAGGGGACGAAGCCATAGAGCACGAGGGGAAGATGATGAAGGTTCAGTCATCAAGGTTTTGGAGGAAGTGGCGAGAGCGGAGCTGGGCAGTTGGGAGTCCGATTGGAAGATAATGGATTTTTCTAAGGAAAGATGTCGCCAGAGCGGAGCTGGACAGGTGAGACTTGGGAGGCGGATTGGAAGATGATTTGGAAGAGAAGATTGAGGGATTTTATTTATTTAAATTTATTTTTTATTTTTAATTAATAAGTGACATGGATGCCACCTTAGCACTAGATATTAAGTCATTGACTGAACAAATGTTTGACCGTTAATATTAATAGTCAACATGAGTTTCGGGCCAAATCTGTCTAATAATTTCAAAAGTAGGCCATAAATGTCTTATTTGAAAAATGAGGCGAGAACTAACACTTACGCTAAACTTCGTGCCAAACTAGGGTATAAATGTCTTATAATTTCAAAAGTAGTCCATAAATGTCTTATTTGAAAAATGAGGCGAGAACTAACACTTACGCTAAACTTCGTGCCAAACTAGGGTATTAACCCAAAATAAATTGGGCTACTTTTTGGTTTCAGAACATGGTTTCAGGTCGGCTCTATCTATAAGACATTGAGTTTTCGACAAATATGATATCGTATATAGAATGATTATGTAGTTATGCATGATGTTATATCGTATTAAAGAGAACAAAAAAATGCTAAAAAATTACCTTGACCAAATAAAATAATTCAAATTAAAGAGAACCAAAAAGTTTTTCATTTTATTTGGCACATCGTAAATACAATTAGAACTATCCATATTAAATATTATGACAATACAAGTCTTTTCATCATTAATTCAATATCTTGTTGACATGAACACTTTTTCTTTCTCTTCTTCATTTTGATCTATAAAAATAATGTATATATTCACATTTTGATATTTCATTTTAACATATCTATAGAAAAAAATATATATGTGTCACTATCTATCTATTTCATACAAGTGCGTCTTACTATAAGTCATTTTCCCACGCCCATGCCAATATTTCATTTGTACTCTTCCACTAGCACTACTCTTCCCAGACAAGTGGATCTTTCCATAAGTTATTTTCCCTCTTTATTCAGTGATTGTTTTTTAATAAGTGATAAGTTGTGTGATAGTTTATGATAATTATCTGATTGTTCTTTTTTTATTGTATTGTGTATTGGAATAGCGCTGATTTATCAAGTCAATCCAACCAATTAAAATTTTTCTTGAACCTAACTTAGTTGTGCCTTATCATGAATAACAATATCTGACCTATGAAATCAATTCAATTCTCAGAGTTAATTTTTCACCAGGCCATATATTTTTCGTCGGTGTCTGATTATATATGGATAGTGTGCGGCGAAAGATAGCAACAAAGTCTCGATGTGTATTCTGACTCCATTATTCCGAACATCCTAAAAAGGATGGAAATAATAAATTCTCATGTGAAAACGTACACATTATTGAAAATCGATAAGAGTACCCTCTACTCTATCGACCACTAAACTCACCTATATTGCCACCATTGTTGCTAGAAGGATTCCATATGGACGGTGAATTTAGGGGATGGGTTAGCATGCTAACCCCTTAAGGGTTAGAAAAATGACACCCCATAGTGTATTAAATACAAATATAGAATTTAATACACACATTAAATACATATTAGGAATTAAATGCACCATATTAATTATTATCTTTTTTTTCAAATTAAAACCTACACTAAATATATTCTCTCTCCTTATATCTGATTTTTCCTTTTTCAGCAGCCTCTGACCACCAGACTTCCTCCAACCGCCACACTTCTCCGATGAAAATCTCATCGGCAGACTTCCTCCGAACACCTGCAAAAAGTATACCACTGCACTGATACGTTGTACCACTACACTGGTAGCTATACCACTGCACTGGTAGCGATATCAGTGCACTGGTACCAATGTCATATATGAGTATCAGTGCAGTGGTACAAATACTAGTACAGTGGTACAACATATCAGTGCAGTGGTATATTTTCGCATGTGACCGGAAAGAGTCTGTCGGTGGATTTTACCGGCGAAATGTGGTGGTCGGAGGAAACTTGGTGGTTGGAGGCTGCTCGGAAAGGAAGAATAGAGATAGGAGAGAGAAAGATCAAAGATGAGAGAGATAATTGTATTTTTGTATATGTTTAGATTTTTTTTAAAAAACAAATAATTAATGTGGTGTATTTAATGCTTACTTTGTATTTAATAACAGAATATTTACTATGATTACTTTCATTAATACTAGTCAATAATTAATGAAAAATTGACCAATTAACAAGGGGTGTCATTTTTCCAACCCTTAAAGGTTAGCATGCTAACCCATCCCTGAATTTAGCTAAATATATACAAACTGTGTAGAAGATGTGATCCAAGTCTAACTCTAACAATTTGGCTCAAAGACCATCTGTGGACTGTGGGAGAGGCGATTATTACTCAGAAATTCCTTGCCATGTACCAGACCTTGGGCGTAGAAATAAGAATTTTTATTCCACAAAATTCTAATATGAAATAATTGGACACGTGTAAATCATTGACTGGATAGGTGCACCACGTAGGATGTGCGCCGGCTGTACGGAAGAATTCCTCCTCTGGAGAGAGACCCTCCCACTCCCGTCTCTCTGTTATAGCGGCCCGTCTAAAGCGATCATCAATCCAAGTGGAAAAAGAAAACCGAGAAGAGAAGTAGAGGAGGAACGAACTTCTCCGGAAGAGAAGAGAAATCCCAAATTTTTGCTGTATGTCAGCGAAATACTATAGTGGTGGTGAGAAACATAGCTACGGCGGCGAATACGGCGAACTCTCTAACCCTTCAGAATGGCCACAGCTCAGGAAAAGGCGACGCTTTCTCAAACAGCTTCTGAGAATCCCATCAGCAGCAAGAGTTCTGCAGCAGCGATGGCGACCCTGATCCACGATTCCCTCTCTGATTCTGCTCCTTCTGCTACTACCAAAACCACTGCCGCCACTCCAGGTATCAATGATCGAAACTTCGAACCCCTCCCATCTGATCATCATAATCATCAATTATAGGAGAATTTGGAGGTGGGTTTTGCATGTTATTGTTGGATCTGCTGAAAGTTTTGATCTTTTTGGTTGTTTCATTTGTTTCCCAGTTATGTCTAGGGCACAGACATGCCACCCACTGGATCCATTAATGGCTGCTGAAATAGCTGTGGCTGTGGCTACTGTGAGAGCAGCTGGGAAAACCCCTGAGGTTTTGCTTTACTCGGTTTAATTTTAGTTTCCCTCAGTTCATTCTTGGAAGCTGTTGCTCACATTGGCAGAACTTTGGTTTAATTTATGATCAGGTGAGGGATAGCATGCGATTTATTGAAGTGGTTCTTGTGGAGCCAGACAAGAATGTTGTTGCCCTTGCGGATGCATACTACTTCCCTCCGTTCCAGCCTTCATTGCTTCCCAAAACTAAAGGCAGGCCAGTGATCCCCACAAAGCTTCCTCCTAGACAAGCCAGGCTTGTTGTTTACAACAAGAAGTCGAACGAGACGAGCATATGGACAGTTGAGCTCAGTGAAGTTCATGCAGCAACTAGAGGCGGCCATCACAGGGGCAAAGTCATTTCATCCAAAGTTGTTCCGGATGTGCAACCTCCAATGGTACTCAGAACATCGGAAGTCAAATTTTTGGAACTAGGCCTTGTTTGTTCCATACTATTTGCAGTGATTCACTTTTTTCTCCCGCTTTGCTTTGTGCTTTTAGGACGCTGAGGAGTATGCTGAATGTGAGGCTGTGGTAAAAGACTACCCACCGTTTCAAGAGGCTATGAGAAAGAGGGGCATTGTGGATATGGATCTTGTCATGGTGGATCCTTGGTAAGTTAGTTTTTTTATAGAGAATGGTGCTTTACAATACATGTGTTCTGATCGGTGGAAACGATTATGGTGTTTGACTTCTGCAGGTGCGTTGGGTACCACAGTGAAGCTGATGCACCTAGGCGTAGGCTTGCTAAGCCACTAATATTCTGCAGAACTGAGAGTGACTGTCCTTTGGACAATGGATATGCTCGTCCTGTCGAAGGAATCCATGTTCTTGTTGATATGCAGAACATGGTAGTGATTGAATTTGAGGACCGTAAACTTGTCCCTCTACCGCCAGCCGATCCCTTGAGAAACTACACTGCTGGGGAAACTCGTGGTGGTGTTGATAGGAGTGATGTGAAACCTCTGCAGATTATTCAGCCTGAAGGTCCAAGCTTCCGCGTCAGTGGCCACTTTGTCAATTGGCAGAAGGTGCTCATGCAGTTCATTTGCTTGTCTATAAATTCACATTATCTCAATTATCAAAAATTCAAAATATTAAACTTTATATTTTTACTCTCAGTGGAATTTTCGGATTGGCTTCACTCCAAGAGAGGGTTTAGTGATATATTCTGTCGCTTATCTTGATGGAAGTCAAGGGAGAAGACCTGTGGCACATAGACTCAGTTTCGTTGAGATGGTTGTCCCTTATGGTGACCCAAACGATCCGCATTACAGGAAGAATGCTTTTGATGCTGGGGAAGATGGGTTAGGGAAAAATGCACATTCTCTCAAGAAAGTGAGTTACTTTGCTTGTAAGCACTTGCTCCTATTAGATTGTTGACTCTCTTGATGAAACTAAACAGTCTACTGACACCTTAAGTTGCTGTATGTATCCACAGGGCTGCGACTGTCTGGGTTACATAAAGTACTTTGATGCGCATTTCACAAATTTCACAGGAGGTGTTGAAACGATTGAGAACTGTGTTTGTCTGCATGAAGAGGATCATGGAATCTTATGGAAGCATCAGGATTGGAGAACTGGTTTGGCGGAAGTCCGTCGATCCAGGAGGCTAACTGTGTCTTTCGTATGCACAGTGGCTAACTATGAGTATGGATTCTTCTGGCACTTTTATCAGGCAAGTCCACCATTATTAGGGTATGATTGCTCAACAATGCTGCTTGCTTTTGGGATTATGTCCTGACTAATAGTTTATATACTTAACAGGATGGCAAGATTGAAGCTGAGGTAAAGCTCACCGGAGTTCTGAGTCTAGGAGCATTACAACCTGGGGAAGCTCGGAAATATGGGACCATGATCGCCCCTGGATTGTATGCACCAGTCCATCAACACTTTTTTGTGGCACGTATGGATATGGCGGTTGATTGCAAGCCTGGTGAAGCGTTTAATCAGGTATAACTTGCCTAACATTAAAATCATCCGAAGTTTTGTAGAGTATCGATGATCAGTTTATTCACTTCTTTCTTTCCTTACACGTAGGTCGTCGAAATGAATGTTAAAGTTGAAGAGCCCGGAAAAGATAATGTACACAACAATGCTTTCTACCCAGAAGAGGAACTTCTCAGGACTGAATCACAGGCAATGCGTGATTGCAATCCTCTCTCTGCCCGCCATTGGATTGTGAGTAATATAAAACATGATCAAGTCACCTTTCAGTTTCTTATGATTTTTTGCTTGCTCCTGATCCTAGTTCACGACCTTTTGACCAGATCAGGAACACTAGAACTGTAAACCGAACCGGCCAACTCACAGGCTACAAACTAGTGCCTGGATCGAACTGCCTACCACTAGCCAGGCCAGAAGCAAAGTTCCTTAGAAGGGCTGCCTTCTTGAAGCATAACCTCTGGGTTACACCTTATGCACGGGACGAAATGTATCCTGGAGGAGAGTTCCCTAATCAAAACCCGCGAGCAGGGGAGGGATTGGCCACTTGGGTGAAGCAGAATCGATCGATTGAAGAGACTAACATTGTTCTTTGGTCAGTTTCCTCTCTCCCTCACAGAGATGCAACATTTCATCAATGTTCTTACTGTTTTCTATATCATATACGTTTTGCAGGTATGTGTTTGGAGTTACACACATCCCTCGATTGGAAGATTGGCCAGTCATGCCAGTGGAGCACGTCGGTTTCATGCTCATGGTAAGTCAGAAAGTTTATTGCAACAATTGGTCATTTTCTTAATACAAATTCAAATCAGTCGGATGTATAGCTCGCTTTTTCTGTTGAAATTGTGGGAATGTTGTTGCAGCCACATGGGTTCTTTAATTGCTCCCCGGCGGTGGATGTGCCTCCAAGTACGGGCGATTGCGAGCTCAAAGACGCTGTAACTCCAACAAAGCCTATCCAACATCCCCTCATTGCCAAGCTATGATGTCAGAAATTTATTTCATTGTTGCAACCTATTGAAATTTGCCGCCTTAGTCCTTTGCTATGCTTTGGTTTGCTGACTTTGTTCGTCCAATGGAACTGTAGCATTCTCGCCATTGCTGTTTTATGGAGCCTCCCCTTGAACACTACCTGTTACTTGTCACTTGTCTCCCAAGTTTTCCCCTTTCTGTTTGCTGTGGCTTCTCTTTGTTTTAGCTCTTCCATCCTTGGGGCAGATCTCAAATGCTCTAGAGATTTCTTAATTTCATCATATGATTGAACGAGCAGGGTAAGGCGAGATCACGAGTCAGGATGGATTGGTTATTATGGATCACATTTTGTGGTATGAGTTATTAACAAATCGTCACGAATAGCGATCGGTAGAAACTGGTCGTTCTGTTTGAATAATTTTCTCTAGTTTTGACGAAAGCAACTTGCTATCGTTTTTTTTTTAAATACAATATATCAGTCACAACTATTATGAAGTCGGGAATCATAACAACAACTATGAAAATTCAAATTATTAGCCATAACTATTGTTACGGGTCAAGATATGGCTAACTGTCCATTACTTTTATTGAATTTTTAACGGAGAAGATCACGTCATCGGCCACGGCAACGGCAACAGGCACGTTGGATTGCTTTTAATTTATAACTTTAAAACATAAAAGTTTAGTCAGTATTACTAACGAAATTGTTAACAAACGGTTAACATTTGGCTAATAATTTGAATTTCCATAGTTATGACTATAATTCCCCACTTCATAATAGTTGTGGCTAATATATTGTATTTACCTTATTTTTTCTTACCTACAATTTGCTATTTTGGGACATTATTATATAGTTCACTTGCATATTATATTCTGAACTAACTTTTAAGCAGGCGGAAGAAGCAAAGACGGACTTGACTTGGCTGGCGCCAATGGTGGCCAAAAATACCAACGTGCTATCGACCACTAAGAGCCATTAAGATCTAAACAAATTGATGGTTAATTTAAGGTTTCAGAATGAAGAACTAATGTCGGGTCAGTCAGACGTTTATAGTTCGAGAACATTGGTTGGTCAACGATGGAGAGACCAAACATAAATTAACAATTCATGGATAGATTTCAGTGCCTACTCAATCGGACACTTAACACATAGTATAGTTTACAGGTTAATTGCATGGTTGGTCACTGAAATTACAAAAAACATTTAAGTTTGGTCACTCGAAATATTTAAATTCATTGGTGGTACTTCAGTTTACTGAAACCATTCACATTTGGTCACTCTCCGTTCAACTCCGTTAACTTTTGCTTACGTGGTGGTCAACTCTAAAAGTTGACCGTTAAATGTGTGACGTGGAAATTTAAAATTAATAAAATTAATTTTTTTTAAATTGCCATCTCATTTTCACTTCATATAATTTTTATTTAAAATAAATACAAAATCCTAATTTCTTCTATAGTGGGTATTAGACGACGAGAATAACACGGCGGGCCTGTTGAACAGGGAGCTGCAATCGATCAAGGAAATCGGACTACGTTGTGACACCGATCCTGAAAGCTAGCTTGGAAGGGATTTCGGCGAAGATGATGGAGTCGGGGAAAACATGGTTCTTTTTCAACCGGTACGGTGGAGCGATGGAAGAGGTGCCGGCGGTGGAGACGGAGTTTCCTCATCGTGCAGGGAATCTTTACAAGATTCAGTACTCGATTGGGTGGAAGGAGCCTAGGGTGGAGGTCGAGGAGAAGTATCTGGGAGATATTCAGAGTTGGTAATGTCCAAACCGACTCTCCTACTAACGCTCTTTCACCTGCTTTACAATCTGCCTCGCGTACTGCCTCGGACTTCTGATCTCTTCCTCCGGCTTCAATTCTCTCTCGTTTAGCCGAGCTTTGATCCGCGAGATCACCAGCTTCTCGCTGGGCGTCATGTTCTCCGTGTTGAGCTAGAGCGACAGCCGGTGGTGGTAGTGGTATGCTTCGGACTTCCTCGTCGACGAAATTCGTGGCACGCCGCCGCCCAATTCGTGGCAGTCGAAACTTCTCCGGTGGTGGCTGTAGTGGGTGATCTGTTGTAGTTGTTGTCTTCCCTGCTGGTGGTGGTGTTGCTGGGGACGCAATTGGGAGAGCTTTCCGTTGATATACGACGTGGTGGCAGAGGATGCAGACGTGCGGTGGTCAATAATCCTACGACGCCAGTCAAGAAAATTAACGGCGGGGTATGCTGCCGGTGGGGTTTGGTATTGGGAATTAGAAGAAATTAGGATTTTTATTTATTTTAAATAAAAGTGATATGAGGTGGAAATGAGATGGCCATTTTAGAGTTGACAGCCACGTAAGCGAAAGTTAATGGAGTTGGACGGAGAGTGACCAAACGTGAACGGTTTCAGTAAACTAAAGTACCACCAATGGATTTAAATATTTTGAGTGACCAAACTTGAACGTTTTTTGTAATTTCATTGTCCAACCATGCAATTAACCCCATAGTATACTATAAAATGTGACTGATTATAATCCACGACCAAAGTGATTTAGATTTAAGATCAAATGAGAGCGTAAATGATTATACCTTCATCGTTTAAGGGTTATAGATTATTCGTAGTTATGGCAATAGGGCAGGCGGGGCGAGTACCTTAATACAGGGGCGGAGTCAAGATTTCGAGACCCGGGGGTCGAAAATAATTAAACAAAATGTAAGTGGCTAAGGTGAATTGAACCTATGTGCTTTAAGACATAAGTCAAGCTTCGCTACCATTCGACCACATGATTATTACACAACAAATTTAAGTTCTACTTATAAAAATTGTTACGATCCCAAGGACTGGCCAATCCGGGGGGGGGGGGGGGGGTGTTAATGTAGCTCCGTCCTTGCCACAAATACCCATGCTCCTGCGAGTCGGGGTTAGTAATATCTGCACGACTACGAGGCAGGTCGAGTCGACCCACTCTTATATGGTGTTTGAAAAAAATACACATAAAATTATACTTTTTATGATAAAACGAAGGGGGAAACACTGTATGAATGAAAATAGTGATAATAAAATGGGTAATTGAGTCTAACTCGTTGAAATATCGAGTATAGTTAGTTGAAGAAAAGCCAAAATAGGGGCGTGTGGACGATGAGCAACGATTGCACTGTCTTGAGATAAAGACAAAGACGTCAAAGGGTCTTGCTCGGATTCTAAAACATCCTCCTTAGCCGATCGCTCACTATCAACTACTTAATCAAAATATGAATAGATACTATACGAAATTGATATAGAATAAGCAAAAAATGGGACAATTCGGGTCGGGAGTAGATACACATGTCCTGCTCGGCTGCTCCCATGCTACTGTGGGTCGAGTAATGCTAATACCCGTTTCATTATGGTTCAGATCGAGTAATACTCACAGTGCGTATTCAAATTGTCATCACTAATTATCCTGTTGGACCATTTACAAATAAAATAACATTATTATTTATTTACTCTTGAAATGTACAATGTATCGTCGATCTACCAATATTTTTTGTCAATAGTATGGTATATAAAACTTTATTGATGTGAATCGCTATTTTTCGCCCTAAAATTTGAATTTTATCGCTCTAAAACGTACCAAAATGACACTTACACCCCTGACCCCAATTCAAACCTAAACTCAGCTTACCCAAAACCCTCCCGCAGGCATACCCACCTCCCTCACGCCGCCTACCCCCATTCCCTCCCTCCGACGCTAACCCGCCTCCTTCGCAGTGATCAGTGGCGGAGGCAGGCTCTTTGGGCCTTGTCCCGGGACAGGGGTAAATTTCGGTGGAAAAAAATACGTCATATATATTTATATTGGTGATGGAACACAACACCTATAGGTAGTGTTAAAGTACTTTGTCACTACAACACAACTTATTATTTGTCCAAAATTGACATAAAATTAATTTATTGTACTATAAACGAAATTCCAATTGCAATAAAGACCTAATAAGGTCTCTTTTTTCCTTATGCCTATTCGATCTTTTTTCCCAACAACCCTGAAATTATCTAGTGACAACGGCAATCCCACTAGTTTTGATCTACCAATTACAACTGCAAGTGTAAAAAAAGCATTTTCAACTTTGAGTTATATTAAGAACAAGTTTCCAAGTCGATTTATAGATCAGTTTGCTAATACTTATTTATTAAGATACATTAAAGACTTATATAATAGTGTAGACAACAAATATTTTTCCGTTTCTTTCACTATATGAAATTCCTTTGTAGTTATTTCTGAAAAGTATGATTGTATAATCGGTTATTTTTAATTTATGAATGAATTATTCGGATATAATTATTTTTAATTATTTTTATTTATTAGATACTTATATATTTAAGTTATGAAAAAGGACAGGGGTGGTTTGAAATGCTGCCTCCGCCACTGACAGTAATATTCATTTTGAGTCTAGGACCTTATATGCCAAATACAATACTCAATGGTGAATTGGTGATTCCCCGACTCTCTGAAAATTATAGTACTTCACAAGATCCACCTGAAACAAGCACTAGTGTGCATAGTGCATTCGAAGCCCAGAACCATCCCGACATTGGATAGGAAGGAGGTCGGAGCCGCTGCCCGCTACCGCCGTCGATTCGCTCACCATGCTCGCTGTCAACCAGGAGGAGGCCGAAGAAGTAGGGGCGGAGCCAGGATTTCGAGACCGGGTGGGCCGAAAATAGATAAATGTTAATAAAAATATCTACAACATTCTTTGAGATCATTTAAACCTCTCAAAATAGCATCTGAACTAAAATTTTCTAGCTATATTTCTTTCAATATAAATAACTAAATCATTAACAAGAAACTCATCATTTATTTGGTTTCGCAATCTATTCTTCACTATCTTTTTACCTGAAAACATGCACGATCACATGTAGCTTTAGAAATTTGGAAGAGTTAGAAGAAGGCAAATCAACCTATCAACAAAATAAAATTCCTTTGACACTAATCTTTCTGTTCATTCCGACATGGATAAAAAAAATAGATCATATAGTTTGTATAAAGAGCTAAAAATCTCAAGTGAACTAAATAGAGGTTGATTTTTCATTTGTAGCTGGATTAAGGTAACAAAATGAATGAAAATGAGTGGGTATCCGTTTGCTTTGGTCCAGAGAATTAAGATAATAAAGTCCAAAAAGAAGTTAAAGCAAAAATGAGGTAGTTGTGGATCAAACCTATTTGCTTTAGGCTAAAAGTTTAGTTTAGCTACCAGTAGACTACATGATTGTTAAATGACACAATATATAGGTCGAGCAGCACAAATTTTATCTAAATATTCTTACGATCCTAGGGGCCGAGACTATTCCCATGTGGGCTCCTGAGTAGCTCCGCGCCTGCGAAGAAGAAAGAGGGGAGGTCGGAGTCGCTGCTGCTTCCACCGACCCCTACGGAGAAGACGGAAAGGAGATGACAACCACCATCGAACCGATGTGCCCACATTTTTTTTCTTTGTGTAATTTTGGCCGGACGGGTTGAAACCCGTCGCTGGCGAGCTTGTGACTTAGAATTTTAGTGTTTGAAAAATAAATAAATGAACTAAGGGTATTAAAGTAAATTTAATTTAGTTAGGACGACGAATAAAATTTTTAGGGTGACGAATAGCAATCTCCATAACAATAGATGGCCTGCTTACCTTCCTTGAAATAGAAATTCAGACGTATATTTATTTGTTACCTTGTTTTTGTTTGCTGTTTGCCATTTTTTTCCCTAGGTTGCTGTTTGGCAAAGGGAGTTCAGCTTCAGTCGGTTGATGACCCCATGGTTGTGGAATTGCTTGTGCTCAGGGAGGCTCTCGTTTGGGTGTCTGGAGCTCGGTTTCTCGGAGGTCAGGTTGGAGGGGATGCTAAAGTGCTCATCGATAAGATCAACAAAGCAGATACTAGAGATAACCGGGTGGGGGTCGTGCTTGAAGAGATAGGATACTATTTTCAGGCCCATCCTGGTTTGACAATTCGATTTGTAGGTCGGCGTAACAATAGGGTAGCCCATTTGGTGGCTAAAAAGGCCCTTTCTTTGTACCCGGCTATGAGTCGGCACTTTGATTTTCGAACCTGGCTTGCTTCCAGGATGTAACTATCGTTTGCTTATATCAATATATGATTATTTTTTTTTTAAACATTCATGCACTTAAGCAAAAGAGAGGAAGAAAATCAAGCCAAGGATTAATGGCAGTTCAATGTATATGATTTGGTTTGGTTAGGCAAACATGTGTCTTAGTTATTATTATTATTTTGCTGTCCTATTAAAAATATTTATTAGTACCAGCTGCCACCTGGCTATGTCATTAAATAAGACACAAGGGCCACAAAGGAGACGTAAATAAGAAGACCAAGAAGAAAAAAGGAAGAAAGTGAAGTAGCCAAGAAATTTCACCAAAATAAACCATCAACCCAAAATAGAGTACTTAACAAATTAATTAACGAAGAAAATTAGTAAAAAAAAAAAACAAAATCGACCATGACGAAAACAAGCATAACATACACTATAGTGGCCAAGATATCAGCTGTGTGCATTGAATTATGTTGTTAATCAAATGTAAAAAATCAAAGTTCATAACTTTTGTAGACTACACAATTTGCAATTTACAAATGACAAATTTGCATACTGAAATATGACAAACATGAAGGGAAAGATAACACAAAGAATCATTCCTATATACTTTGTTGTCACTTAGTAGTTCAACCATATTTCCACGATATTTCTATCCATTTTTTTCGTCATTTAATGGACATTAACATATGCAAGTACAAATCAATGACTACTTGACAAACTTTACGATATAAAAAAAGAGTCCAGGTCTCAAGGTCTAGGAGGGTTATGATATAGGCAACATTTGTTATGTGAATTCACTCTTTATATCTTAATCGCTTTCTCTTAAAAAATTTCCCTCAATGATTGGACGAACACATTTGATTTGATTTGATTGGAAATTGGAATGGATAGAGATAATTCGAGTTAAATACTGATAACCGAGATAAAAGTGTAGTTATATGGAATATTATTGACTTAATAGCCACCATGACCACCACCTATTCAACCCAACTTTCATGTACTTCTCCACCGACTGGTATAGTCCATCCTGTCTTCAGCGATTCAGGAGGATTTACAACGCTCGTCAACCAACTTCGACAAAATATACCCTAACGATAATATAAAGGCGACAATTATTTGGTGTACATGGGTCGGGTGGTCTGGGTTTAGCCATTTTAATCATTCCGTCCATACATTACGGTTTGGGAAATATTAAACCCAAACCCACCCTAAAAAAATTTAAACCCTACGATTTGTTTTTAATTGGGTTGAGTTGGGTTGGCAATATTTTTAAGTAAAAATACAACCCAACATAAAATACATAATTATTCTACACCATAAAATTATTTATAATTAATTAAAATTTCAAACGAATAAACCGAGGGAAAATGTATCAAAATTCACAAATGTTGTTTGAATTTTAATAAAATGTGATTTACTTCAACATATGTCTAGTTTCTTTCACGACATTTGTTGAAATAGGCTAAAAAGGTTATAAACAAAGGCATCCATAATATGCTATTCTATTAAAATTGTACACAAGAGAAAAGGATTACGTGAATCATAGCTATAATAATTTTATGTTTAAACTTTAAGTCGAAGAATGCATTAGATTAGGGAGACCATGAGATAAAACCATGGCAAAATATCTTAATTTTCTCATAAGTATGGCTATATACGAAATAAAATATTTTTGGATACGAAGTCATACCAATAGTTGGAACACGAGTTGGGTCGGGTTCTATGGGTTGTGTAATCCAAAATCCCAACCCAAAACCTTCGTTTAGCGATAAATACGGGTGGGTTGGGTAAGGTTGGATGGGTGGGTCTGTTTGCGGGTGTGTTTGTTCACCCCTAAAGACAACATCAGTGGCGGATCCAAGAGATGGCCATCCCGTGCCACGGTCTAGCCCTCCTCTGGATCCAGAACTAGTATTGCACTTATAAATTTTTTGATTTTAGATATTCGGTCGAGTGTTATTTTGTAACAAAATTTTGTGTAACTAAAAAATTGTTCTAATGAACACATTCAAATCACTACTTTGACCTAAAAATCCCAGCCCCAATGATGCCCAAAAGTCTAAAAATCTAAAAAGTAAAAGACTAAACAAAATACGAGGTTTGTTTCCTTGCAAAATTACTATAGGAGCTGGTGAAAATAGTGACGGACACACAATACAAATTAAGTGATTAGTTGGTTGATTCGTCTAGTGTTGACGTTATCGTTTCAACGTCTGCTATGGAGAGAATCTTTTCAACAATGAAACATTTGAAAACTGATTTGCGCAATAAAATGAACGATAAATTTAGACTGATTGCTTAGCTATTTTATTTGAAAGAGAGTATGCGATTAGTATGGATGAAGACTCCATTACTGATTAATTTGCTAAATTTAAAGACCGTCATGTATAATTGACATTGTAAAAAAAAATATGATTATTGTATAAATTTATTGTATAATTGTCTAATAAAATGTGGCACAATACACTACTTCTATATTCTGGATTCGCCACTAAACAACATTAATCAGATTCTAAGTTCGAAACTTACGACCAACCCTTATTCTTGTTGTAGATAAAAACTTACGCATTTGGAATGCTAATCCACAGATTGGCCACTACAAAGAATAATCAAATTTATCAAAATTATCCCTGCCGCTTAATACAACACAAGAATGGCGGTTATGTCTTTTACGTCTCTGTCACACGCACCCACCGAGACCCTACACACCAAAATAACAACCCACAAGGATAAAAGCGACATTTCCATGTCTCCATCCACACGCTCTTTCCTAGCAAGTGCCTCCCACTTTCTCTCCCCCCAACTCTAATCGACGACAGTTACCCACGCGCCCCTCGACACGCTCCTTCTCCCTCATTCATTTCCAGCCAAAAGAAAAAGAAAAATAATTTAAACGCTAAAACGCCAAAAACCCATAAAAAAAATTGCCCGATCGAAGAAGGAACCAAACCAACCCTTGAAAATCAATTGACTGAAGAACATAAATTCTCTCCTCCTTCCATCACTTCTCCGAAGTCCGATCACCGATTCTTCACTTCCGTTTCCTTCCTCCTCGCAATGGTCCTCTCCCCGTCTCCGCCGCCGTCGAGGGGCGGGGAACAGTCAGAGCCGCCAGCGCCGCCGCCGCCGTTTCAAGACGAACTCCGCCACCCGATCATACTGGCGGAGCGGGTCCTCGCGGCGGCGGACGAGGCCGATTCGTTCAAGTCCGAGTGCGCCGCCGTCGCGAAGCAGGCCGATTACATCGCGGACAAGCTCCGCTCGGTGGTCCGCTTCGCCACCACGCCCGGACAGGCGGTGTACGAGCGGCCCGTGCGGCGGATTTCCGCTGAGGCCGCGAGGAATCTCGACCGGGCGCTGGCCCTGGTCCGGCGGTGCAGGCGGCGGAACATCTTCCGCCGCGTGGTGGCGATGATCTCCGTCGCCGACTTCCGGAAGGCGCTGGTCCATCTGGAAGCTTCCGCCGGAGACGTGTCGTGGCTGTGGAGCATGCTGGAGTCGAATGGCAACGCCATGGCGCTGCCCCCAATCGCCAGCAACGACCCGATTGTTGCTTGGGTGTGGGTTGGGATCACTTCGATTTACATGGCGCCCATGGCCGAGAAGATCGAGGCGGCGAATCAATTGGCCTCTCTTGCGAAGGACAACGACAGGAACAAGCAGATTATAGTGGAGGAAGGCGGCGTGCCGCCGTTCTTGAAGCTAATTAAAGAGAAAGATTCCCCGGAGGCACAAATCGCCGCGGCGGCGGCGCTGCTCTACTTGTGCAACGAGGGGGACAGAGTCAGGGCGATTTCCGAAGAATCTGCCGCCGGAGTCCAGACAATTGTGAAGGTACTCGCCGATTCTCCGATGAGGGTTCAGATTTGGGTGGCGAGATTGGTGGCGGTGATGGCGGAGAACGATCCCGGCGCTCAGGATAACTTCGCCAGAGAGAACGCAATTCGCCCTTTGGTCACTCTGCTGTCATTCGAGACCTTCTCCGACGACCAATTCGGTGGTCAAATTGGCAAGCAATCGATTCATTCTCTAGTCCAGATGAACAAGGAAATGGAGAAAGTGGGGGAGGTGAAGATGAGAAGCAATAATAACAATAATAAGGAGAAGGATAGGGATAGCCTGCAGTATCGGCCATTTGTTATGAGTTCATTTTCGAGCTTCCATTCCGATGCTGGTGGAGGAAGCAAAGGGGGAGGGACTAGGAAAGAGAGGGAGAACGAGAACCGGGAGGTGAAGCAGAAGCTGAAGACGAGCTGTGCCGAAGCTCTGTGGATGCTGGCGAAAGGGAGCGTGTCGAACAGCAAGCGAATCACGGAGACGAAAGGGCTGCTCTGCCTGGCCAGATTGGTGGAGATTGGAGAGCCCGAGTTGCAGTTCAACTGCCTGATGACGATTAAGGAGATCACATTTGCCGCTGAGTCGAATGCTGATCTCCGTCGTGGTGCATTCAAGACGAATTCGCCAGCAGCGAAATCCGTAGTCGACCAGTTGTTGAGAGTGATCAAAGGATCCAGCAGCCCCAAGCTGCTGGTGGCTGCCCTCCAGTCGATCGGGTCGTTGGCTCGGACGTTCCCAGCGAGGGAGACTCGCGTGATCGGTCCCCTCGTCAACCATCTGAACAACAGGAGCCAGGAAGTGGCCGCGGAGGCTGCCATCGCGCTGGCGAAGTTCACCTGCGAGGAGAATTTCCTGTGCGAGGCGCATTCCAAGACGATGATCGAGTTCAACGCCATTCCTGCGCTGATGAAGCTGCTGCGAGGCAGCGAGAGGGCGCAGCTGAGGGCGCTGATCTTGCTCTGCCATTTGGCTGTGAATGCCGGCAATCACGAGGCGTTGGAGCCCGCTCGGGTGCTGACGGCGCTGGAAGGAGTGGATAGAATGGTGCTGGCTCAGTACCCTGAGTTGAGGGAGATGGTCGCTAAAGCTGTTTACCATATCAATCTTTACCACCGTGGACCTCATTCTCAACGGCTTACCTTCGTGATTTAGCAGAAACTGTCCTAGTTTTCTTCCTACTACTGAGGTTATAATTATATTGCAGTAAAAAAGGTCACATTTTTTTAGTTTATGTTCATAGTTAGTTAGATGATTACAATGTTTGGTGGGAGTTGAGTTTAGGAACAGAATACACAGAATGAAATATACATAATTCATTTGTAGAGTTTGGTTTTTTTTGGGGACAATTTGATTTGTGGCTGAATAAAAGTCGTCCTAACATTCATCAAATTCGGTTTGATTCTGATTCTCATCCGATTTCTAGCGGCCGAGAGAATCGACAGAACACATGGCTACTAATAATACTGCGCAAATTGCAGAGCTCTGGGGGACCCTTGAAACTTGCTGTCTTTGCAACGAAGGCCATGGACATAATGAGTACATGACAAGAAAACGATATCATTCCATAACTGTGAGTACAGCCGCGCTTGCTAATATTATTTCGACGCAAGTAGCTTTCAAAAGGGCAATTGAACATCGTCAACATGTGCTAATCGGATACTGCATCGGTCGGTAGCCCAAGACAGGTTATCAATATATCTAATGTTGCCCTACTAAATCAGGGTTATGTGAAGCTTTCTATTCCATGAGGTAATGAGACATAATTATGTTATGTACAAGGGGATATCTCTTCTATAATACTTGATAGCAGTACCTGGCATTATTATCAGAAAAGAAAAGGAAGGAAGACAGCGATGCATAAGATTGTTCTGGACCGGCTGTCATCACATACAAAAAACCAACAAGACAAAAACATAAAAGCGCCAGCTCAAAACCTGACAGAAGAAGGAAGAGCGTATCCAATGCGTATCATCATCAGGCCACCACTGATACCAGATGAATCAATCAAAAGGCCAAGAGCAGAGCAGTCGGCTGTATATTGTCTTTGTCGTCAGCACTTCGGCCACAGATTCTGTACAACAGTAGTTTAATTGCTGGCTTTCTTCTAGCCCCATTCCAGAACCACCTGTAAGGCCGCCAAACATTCATACAATCAGAAAAGCGACAAAATCTTATATTAAATTTTGAGGCCACCCAAGGGAATTCAGGGGATGAAACTAGGGCAACTCCAGCCCTAATCCTAGAATTATCCTAAAATACCCGGTTCTATAGGGTCAAACTACTAACCGGGTCCGACCCTATTTTCGGTTGATCAAGTCTGCCCCGCTTGGATCGGGCTGGTTGGGTCAGGCCGAGTCAGCGAGTCAGCTACAAACAAGTCCAAAACCATATGGAATGTGCAGGCCAGAGAATGAGTCAGCGAGTCAGCTGAAGCCGAAAGATGACTCCATAGACAAATTGACCCAACCCAATTCTCGGGATCGGGCCAGGACTGTCAGGAACTGAAAAGAAAGAATCGGATTGAAAGCGTGATAAGATCACTCTCCTTGGAGTGTTATTTGCCCCCACTACAAATTGCTGGTAGGCTCGAGCAAACCACCCCCAGGAGTCCCTTCAATTTTAAATTTGGAAGTAGCAATCTTGCAGACTTCTGTGTTTATGGAATAGAGAAGGAAAACGGGAAGAAGAAGTAATCTCACGTCTCGTATTAAAAAGAGTTATGACAGTCCTCTATTTATACTTGTGAAAACTAGAAGTTATCTCCCGAAGAGATACATCCTTTCACAGAAAAAGGTAGTTACCTCTCCCGAAAGGACACATCCTTTCACAGTATTCAAACGTTAATTACTTAATTAAACTGCCAAAAGACTCCATCTTTATACTTTACTTCTCCCGTCAACGTGGTATTACAACTCTATTGACTAACTCTAACAATCCCCCACTTAGTCAACAAGAGTTTAGAATCCCTGCCTCGAACAAGTAACGCATACATAAATGTATCTTTTCGATTTGAACTTTTACCTAGTGTAAGCAACTCAAAGTTGATAACGAATCAGTGACGGGCTTAAGCCTAGGAGTCACGATCCAAAGCTATAACCGGAGATGCCACACACGTACTTGTCTCTTCTCTAAACCACAACCACCAACTATGGTAGCACTATTATGGCCATGTGCTAATCCTGTTTCATGAGCATACACAAAAGTTGACCTCTACCTTTGTTAGAGCGGCACCACTCTTAATGCTCACATAGGTGACATTCCAAATAAATTCATTAAGAGTTATATAACTCATCTCAAGAGTTCTATAACTCACCCTTCTTTGAGCTAATTTACTTGTACAATAAATTAGTACCTATGTTAGAGCAACTTGTTATTACCACATTGAACCTTTTAATTAGTGAATACCTAAAGAAAAGGTTGGGTTCCCATTACTTCTAACTACACAAAAGGTCTTAATCCCATCCCTTGGGATGTCTCATAGATCATGCCTCTTGGCTATCCCTTGGCAAGAGGATCTGCCAAATTATTGCTTGATCTTACATACATAATAGAAATGATTACATTAATAATCAAATATCTAACGTAACCATGTCTTAGGCAATTATGTCTAGACTTACCATTGTAAATCTTGCTATAAGCTTTAAACAAAGTAGCCTCACTATCACAATAGACAGAAATGGCTAACATCGGTTGTGGCCACAACTCTTTATCTAACAACATGTTTCTTAGCCATCTGCCTCTTTTCCAGCCGCCGGAAGGGCTAGAAATTCATCTTCCATAGTGGAGTGTGTAACACACTTTCGTTTCTTCAAAATCCTCACTTAGTGTAAAATCCACCAGTTGTAGATTTATTATCACTAGAACTTGCTATCCAACTAGCATCAAAACCATCTCCCCCACAATTCTTCCACTTGCCGAACTATCATGGAATAATTCCATTTTATTTTCCATGGTATTACTTATTGAACTTTCAACCACTACATTGATCTAATTGTTTACCAATGAGATGAACTAATTAGATTAGTATACCACAAACAATTCAGATATTATTAGAAATATCATCTAATTACTTACCAATGGAATTGGTCAAGGTAACTTGAGATGCCACAAGTAATTCAGTTGCATTTCCAGATTGTATTGGAAATACCATCTAATTACTTACCAATGACATTTCACGAAGGTAACTTGACATACCACAAGCAATTCAAATGAATATTCTAATTCAATCTTCTAATTACTTTCCAATGGTATAAATTTACACATATACCATAAGTAATTCAGAATTTAAGTTCAATAAGATAATCTCGATTAGTTCTCAAGCCAAATTGTTTGCCAATGGTATATGTCTATATATACCATAAACAATTCTGGCAATGATTATTTTGATAATCATCATTCTTTGGCAAGCTAATTCAATCCCTATAAGGACCCATCTTAGTTTCATTTTTCCTTGCCCTCATGGCATATGAAACATGAAGTCATAAACCAATACATGATAAACAAATTACCATGTCGGGGAAACGCTCTTCATCATTATTTCAATTTACATCAAGTCACAACTCAAACAATTTTGTTACATAAACCAAATTGTTGCATCTTGCAAGCATCAAAATTGAAACTCATACAAGTTTTGGTGGGAAATTTTGTTTCAAGAATTCAATGTAAATTATTCCAAATTCCAACACAATTGAATTTTCTTGAACTCTTCTCATAATATGAATTATGAGTTTGTTCTCACCTCAAATACTACAAATGTATTTGATATCACTTAATCGAATAAAATTGGTTCATCATATTTCCTTGCACACAAATTGCATCATGAACATGACCATGCAAAATCAAGAAAGCAAATATGCAGGAAATTAATTCTGCCAATGAATCTTTTAATATCATGCAACAATAGACATGGCGATTTTTATTTCTGCTAGAAAAATCAAATCCATTGCACTATCGTAGTTATCACTTTGCATGCAATCACAGTTTCATTAATCATGCCAAGTCACACTTTATATATTTGTTATGCCATTTCTACAGGAACTCGATTCCTTTTATTCTTTCATCCTCTCCATTGACAGGAAGAGCAAAACCGGTAGTTACTCGAAGCATGCATATCTATATCATCCATTCTTAATTATCAATACACCTTATATATAAATAAAAGGGTTGGTTATAAGAAACCAATCATTCCTTTGTCAGATTCGAATTCAATATAACCAGAAATTTAAACACACGGAAAATGATAACTATCAAATTCTACGATTCAGTTTTCTTTTTGAAAGCAACCAGCAATTAGGTGCAAATTACACCCATTTTTATAATGACTGTGGACTGTTTGCTTCTTTTTCTCTTGTCATGCCTTCAACGTATTCTTTACACCAAAATTCATTTTTCAACAGCAAAATAACACTCCAAGATTGTCAGGAACTGAAAGGAAAGAATCGGATTGAAGGCGTGATAAGATCACTCTCCTTGGAGTATTATTTTCCCCCACTACAAATTGCTGGTAGGCTCGAGCAAACCACCCCCAGGAGTCCCTTCAATTTTAAGTCTGGAAGCAGCAATCTTGCAGACTTCTGTGTTTATGGAATAGAGAAGGAAAACGGGAAGAAGAAGTAATCTCACGTCTCGTATTAAAAAGAGTTATGGCAGTCCTCTATTTATACTTGTGAAACTAGAAGTTATCTCCCGAAGAGATACATCCTTTCACAGAAAAAGGTAGTTACCTCTCCCGAAAGGACACTTCCTTTCACAGTATTCAAACGTTAATTAATGGGTTAATTGCAAGTTTGGTCACTGAGATTACTAAAAACGTTCATGTTTGGTCACTAAAAATATTTAATTCCATTCGTGGTCACTAATTTTAGTAAAACATGTCATGTTTGGTCCCTCTCCGTCCAATTCTGTTAAGTTTGGCTGATGTGCCAGTCAACTTTTAGAGTTGACCGTTAAGTGTATGACGTGGCAATTTAAATTAAATAAAAATTAATTTTAAAATTTACAACTCTTTTCAGAAACGCAATTGCAACTAATCAATCAACCACTAATCTACATTCTTCTGGAATTCCGAAGGAGAGAACCCTAGGCTTCCCAAGTTTGTGCTCTGAAGGGAAAATTAAGAATCCAATTAAGGAATCTTCACCTGACTCGCGAAT